TGTGGTTCTACAGAAGGATGCTGAAAATATCAAAAAATGAACATGTCAGCAATGACAAAATTTTAGAAAAAAATAGAAATAAAAAGGAAATATTTATAGTTAACATCAGGAAGAGCTGAAATTTCTCAGACACATAATAAGGAAAGAAGGCTTAGAAAGTTTGATGCTCTCAGCACGTATATTCATGGCAAGAGGGATGGACGAAAGCAGTGTATCCATTTAATAAGCTTGTGTAAATGATTGGCAGAACAGAGATAATGAAAAAACAAAATTTAATAAGAGCTGCAAAGGACAGAAAATTGTAGAGAGCCATGATCGCAAACATCCTAAAGGACATGGCAGATAGAAGAAAAAATATTTGACATGATGATAAACAAATGTGCATATGAGTTTTTCCATAACTTTGAGAATATACTTGCAGTTAACCAGTATTTGTACATTTTTGATACCTGTTTTGTTGGCCTTTAAAATATGTACAAAGTGTGTTCAAAAATATAAACTTTTACAATCACCTTCAAAATACTCCCCTTGGGCGTTCACACACTTCTGCCAGTGGTTCTGCCACTGATGGTAACACCTCTGGAACTCTTTCTCTGGAATATTATGGAGCTCTGCTCTCATTTTTCTCATAATTTCCTCTTGCAACTAACTTCCCTTTTAGTGTGGTTTTCAGATTGGGGGAGAGCCAGAAGTCAAACAGTGTCAAGTTGGGAGAGTAAAGAGCATATCAAGCAGGTGCTGTGTTGTTCTTGACCAGGACAGCTTGGATTATTTGGGTTAAATTTTGCTGACACATTCCACTTGCACAAATTCTCCATTGAAATGGAATGCACTGATCCTGTGCTTATTCCCACTTTGTGAGCGATTTCCTGGAGTGTTACATGACGCGCTTTGATGACTATTCACCGAACCTTCTCAATCAACTCATTGTTTCAGCTTGTGAATTACCTGCCGCACTCTTCACTGAGATGTGGCCATGTTTGAAATGGTTGTACCACTCCTTGATCTGAGTTTTGCCCATGGCATCATCACCAAGGGCCTGCTGAATCTTCTGGATGGTTTGAACTTGAGTACCACTAAAGTTTTGACAAAACTTGAGTCAATATCTCTACTGTGTGTTTAGTTATCTTGCATGAAAATGAAAATGTGTTTAGTTATCTTGCATGAAAACGAAAATCTGTTTAGTTATCTTGCATGAAAATGAAAATCTGTTTAGTTATCTTGCATGAAAATGAAAATGTGTTTAGTTATCTTGCATGAAAATGAAAATGTGTTTAGTTATCTTGCATGAAAATGAAAATGTGTTTAGTTATCTTGCATGAAAACGAAAATCTGACAAGTATGCACTACATGTCTGTACACTAAGCATAACAGCCAGAAACTGATGTGGCCTACCATTGTGAAAATTTTCACATATGTGCAGCAAGTGTGGTTTCACCACCCTCAAAGGATTTTGTTCACATGGCATTAGTTTTGGCAGAAGAAAAATAAAGTTGGATACTTTTTGAATGTAGCGCATATAAAAAAAACGTATAAAGACATTACATTATGCAAGTACACTTGTATTATAAATAGGATGTTGATCAACAAAAGTTAAAACTATACAGAATGGAGATCAGAATAAGTCATAATGAACAGTAGCCTAAAAAGTGAATCTTTTTACCTACATACACAAATGGAGGTTTAGATTTCCCTGTCAACTGCAATCTTCAAAAATTTAAATGCAATGACAACTGCCATTTTCTGTCTTCCTGAACCTTGTTCATTTATTGTCCTCTCATCATGTTGTGTCGGAAACCTACCACCCCTCTTGAAGATGAACTTGTCTGCATCTGTAAACAAAGACTTTAAATAATGGGAGACAGAAGACAGAGAAGTTCTTAGCTGAGCTAGTTATTGACTACTCAGGCGATTTCTGTACCTTTTTACCAACCTATTAAAACCCTTTTTATTGTTACGTGTTATTTGGCGTTTGTCTCTACTAACCCCAAATCAACATCATAACACATCATTAAAATCTTTTTTCATTAGCTCTGTTCATAGAGGCATTATTGCCTTGCTTGGTGGGGTGAGATGATTTTAAAAAAAAATGAAATTTATATTTCATTAAAAGCAGAAATAAAGTTAAATTTATTTTTCTTCTACTAGCTTTCTTTCACATTATTTTTTAAGATCTATCATAATGCCCAGGTTGGTTTTAAATTTTTTGATTTTTAATGAAGCATTGGCTAGAGAAAAAAAACGCTTTTAATAAGTTTTGAGTTTTTATCTCTTATTCTTGCTAATAAAATTTTCTTGACAATCCTACATGTAATTTGAACAAATTTAGCTGTACTGTAGTAAATGCAGGAAGATTCTTTAGCAAAAACTCAATTTTTAGTAGTAGACAGAACTGATGATCTGATTCATTGTAAATGAAAAGCAGCTAAAAATTAAGATGAAAGAAAATACAAGTCAAACATTAATAATGGTGACAATGTGTCATCTAATAAAACAATGCAAAAGCATGATAATGTTACAATTACTCATACTCCTTATTTATATAAAGACAATAACAAATATAGAATCCTGGAATCATAGAAATATAAAGAGTAAGTTTAAATGGTTAGATTTGTTGTTCTGTTAGCTACAAGATTTCTTGTAGCCCAATCAACAGAACAGCTGGTATGAAAACCAGATTCTCTGAATCAAAGGGATGTGTTTGACTGTTGTCAGGAACTTATTCCCTATTTCCGATCTGTCTTATTTACTAATGGTCATAGACTGATAGTATATAGCTGTGTTAAAAAGCAAGTAAAAGTTTAAAGAAAAATATTAGTCAAAAAAGAATGCTATTTAATTATCAAAAGAAATCTGACCAAACTTATTAACTGAATCAATGTAGGAATGAGATTTGGACATGGAAATGAACTCAAGAATAGTGTTTTGCATACCTAGTGTGTTAATCATTACTCAATGACAGTTACTCATGCAGTCAAATCCTACAACAAAAGTGTGTCAAAAGAGTCACAAAAAATTTAAATTGTTACATTTCTTCAAGATAACTGCATATTATTCAATAATTACATGCATATTTAATTCATAGAGTAATATTTCAGTTACAGGATTTGGATCATGGGAAGTTTTTTATAGAAAAAATATCAGATCTTATTCAATAATTAAAGCTATTTCAAATATGGAAAAAGATATTCAATAATTAAAACTATTTAAAATCATGCTGTAATCTAACTGAAAATTTTGTTTTAAAACTTAACTCATACATCTGTAATTTAGTTTACAGATCTTGTGTTTGATGATTAATGAAATTACAATAATGCTTTAGTGTTCATAGAATTTTTGATGCTGATACAATGTTAATATGTGTGAAGCAAATGGACTTTGAATATAAGAACAAATAAGGAAATCTTGAGTAATGCTAGAAAATATATCAAATATTAAAAAAAATTACTCTATAAAACCAATTTAAGACCACTTATACTAATGCAATAAATAATCTTTAAAAAATAACAATTATAATACATTAAACTGTATCAGAGACTTAAACATTTCTAAACTGTATATTCTATGAGGGAATAGAAATGTGTGCACAGCTAACACTCATTGGAACCCAGCTTATTGAGTCAATATATCAGTAGACTTAATGCTCTCTACTTGTATTCAATTATGCAAAAATCTCTATTGGAAGGGTTCTGCAATCTTTACGATGACTGACAAATTCAGTGTGTCAGCAAATCTGCTAAATTTATTAGTATTAACAAAGTAGGTATATTCCTTGAAAATAATATAAGCGCTGAAAAGTTTTTCATCCATCCAAATGATACAAAATAAATTAAAAATATTCAGATTTTAGGTCAGATTTGGGGAAATGAATCAGGTAAGAACTTTTCATCAAGCCCTTTTATAACAAATATCATCAATGGCTTTTCCTAATTTTTGAGTATTTAATTCCTGTGTTATACTCTTTCTTTTAACCTTAGTTCACTAAATAGAAGGCCCAAGAGTCATTCAAGGTAGAGGGTTACTGAATGAAATTGTTTTAAGAGTGTAAGGGAAGATGAAAGAGTGCATATTATGAGGATATATATGGAAGATATTGGTTGACCTAAACTTGAATACGTTAACATTTTCAGAGAAGTATACTCTTGGGAATCTGTTCCACAAAGTAGCAGTTCTCAATTCCTTTCTCTATGCCTTTGATAGCTAGTAAGACTGATCCTTGCATGGAACATTTGTCTGCACAGGTTTCACCTGATTTGGCATGCCTTCCTATGTATATACAGGTAAAGCTCAGAGGTAACCAACTTATTCAGTCAGTCTACAAATAGGCTTAATGCACTCTATTTATATTCTGTATTTGTATTATGCAAAAAATATTTGTATTTGTATTATGCAAATATTTCTAACATTGTTTAAATTCAGTCATCGTAAAGATTACAGAGTCCTTTCAGTATCAATGTGCCTGCATCAAATTTTGTTCAAAGACTGGTAAATCTGCTACCAAAATCCTCAAATATGCTTCATTGGCCTTTTAGTTTATTTTGAAGACAGGTTTTCAGTAGCACTGGTTTATATCAGTTTAAGAAGATGAGCATTCAACATGACCAATCATCATAAAAATGCCAGAAAGTGTGGAAAGAATTTGTGAACTTATCCATGAGGTCTATTGCTGAATAATTTCTTGGCTATCTTCTGGGATTGAAATCAGTTATGGAGTCTGCTGCTAGGATTTGGACTGGTTTGTTTTTTTATGGCTTATCAACCTTTTGCAGGTTATTTAAAACCAGAAATATTTTTAGATTCTAAGAATTTTTTGAAGATAATGATTTTACTGATCCAAGTCCTACTAATTAACCCATAGCTGGGGAAGAAGAGGTGGATTCGTGCTTTTCCAAAGGGTATTTGTGTGTAAGTGAATATAACAAACCTGATTGGAATTGGAAACTGAAGAGCAGATTTCCAATTTGGAGCCACAATCCATTATATCACTCACATATCCAAGCTTACAAAACCTGGTATTCCCAAATGGTCACCCATCTAGGTACTGACCAGGCTCAAAATTGCTTAACTTTAGTGATCATACAATAACGAGTGTTTCAACTAGTCTGTAAAACTTTCGAATACCACTTTATATACGCTTTTATTTGTTTTGTTTTTTTTAATTTTTCTTATCATCACTTGTGAGTAATCATATATGCAAAAATATATGCAGAGTTCTGCATAAAAACAAAATGCATATTGTTATCACTTACTCTCACACACATTTCTGCAGACAGTTGCTTATTATGCACATGCTAGACAGTCATTTCACATATGATTAACAACAGAACCACAGGCAAAAGCAGCCCCTTTGTATTCTAACTTCAAAGAGATCACAGAATCTAATTAAGTCCAAGTCGTTAATCCACTCCCTTTTCATTGCTAACACCTGCTGCAGTCATCTTTGCCAGCAGGATCTGTGACCGGTGAGTTCTCAGAAACACGCCAACCACCATTAGTTTCTTCCACACTTTCGATTCCTAACCATATTGCAGCAAACACATAAATGGCTGTAAATTCTAACATCTACTTATCTTTATCATGTGATAACTATGAGGAAGTGTTGAAGAGATATTGGCCTAACCAACTTCCCAAAATTTAACAAAATGATCAAACATCAAAGATTTTTTTTTTTTTTTTTGTAAATCCCTTCTGGTTCAGGTTGAGAACTTTTCTGTTGGATTAATATGGAGAAGCTGGGTGCCATTCCATTAATTTTGTGTCTTTGAAACTGTTTTGACAAGATCAACAATACTTGGCATTGAAGAATCATTATGCTGTCTCAGTATATTGTCTAGCTTAAAATTATTTGCTTATAATGAGTAGCATTCAAATAATGTCTTGTCCAATAATTTACAATAATTTTCTACATTTATCTTGAACCTAGTTATGTGCAGAAGGTGCAATGGTCCCAAGCATCCATATTGGGAGGGAATCCAATCAAAGAGTGAAATAAAAAATTTAGTTCATATTTAATTTGAATAAAATGTTTATTTTATGTTTCATTTGTTTTTACATATTTAAAATGTCTTCCTTTTCTCACATTTCTCAATACTAGATTCTATAGGTACCCCCCCTACTTGAGTCTTGGGTGGGGGGCCCCACAATAAAGGTGTTGGCACTGGGTATCACCAAACCTCTGCACATCACTGCTTGAACAATCAACATCTTTGAAGGAACTTATAATTTTAATTCTTACAAGAATAGCTTAAAACATTATTCCACTTCTTCACTGTTTGCTATGTTATCATGGTTATTTCAACAAAGGACCCAACTTCTTGCCTGGCCATCAGGTCCATCCTATCCAATGTAGTTCTACATTCAGTGCCAGATTTACTATTATGCTTAGGTGTGTTTAAGCACACACCCTGGTGGCGAGAGGGGGACCATCTTCCTTCCATGCCTGTAGTCATGCTGGGCATATCTCCTTGGCTCAAGTATGGGGCCTCATAACTTTACTAGCACAGGGACTCATTTGTCCTAAATTAGATGCTGTCTACATTATTCACTTGAAAATTACTGCTGAGAAATTAGTTTATTTTTTAATTTTTACTCAAAAGGTAGTAATTTGGTTGATTTAACGTATTTATGTTCAACTATTTGGATTGAAATCTCCTCCGTAAACAGAGATTTTGATCCAAAGAGTTGAACATTTCAGTGTTCATGAAATAAATTTTTACTCAAAATGGATAATTAAAGTCTCCATCTTCTTATTATAATGCTCTGTAGTCTACATTGAGCTCTCCCTGGATTTATATCCTTCTCTGAATTATCCCTTCCAGTCACAAACTGGTAAGATATATATATATATATATATATATATATATATATATATATATATATGATTATAAACAGTTATTATAAGCTGAATATCACAGGATATATTTATCATATAAATATAAGTATAGCCTGAAAATTTTAACAAGTTAATTAATACCAATTTTATTTTGAAAACATTGACTTGTCTAACAGAACCTGATAAGCAGTACCTAGATTGGGAATGCCTGTAAGAGAAAATGGAAACAAAAAGGAAACTTATATTTAGCATCAGAAAAAGAGAGTTGAAATTTCTAGGACTCATAATGAGGAAAGAGGGTTTGGAAAATCTGATACTCACAGAACAGATTGAATGCAAGAGGGTCAGAGGAAAAGAACTCATAACATACTTAGTAAGTTTGAGTATATATGGATGACGGAACAGGGTTTAGGAGAAATAATAAAAAAAAAACAAATTTATTAAGAGCTACAAAGGAGAGGAAGTTGTGAGGATCCATGATTGCTTATGTCCTGAGGAGACATGGTACATGAAGAAGAAGAATAGAACCTGATAAATTGCATATTTATCCTCCAAAGATTTTCCTTTACTTTTTAAAACTTTAGGGGCTTACAGCCACATCTTATTGATCACTGAAGTTAAGCAATGTTGAGCCTGGTCAGTACCTAGATTGGGAATGCTTGGTGCTGTAAGCGTGAATGTGTGGTGTGATAGATAATGGTTCAGAATTGTTAATTGGTGAGCAACATTCCACTTCCTGTCAGGTTCGTTATATTCACTTATGTGCAAATACCCTTGAGAAAGGTATGAATCCACCCCTTTGTTCCCTAGCTATAGGTTAATTAGTAAAAATTGTATCACTAAACCATTATTATTTAAAAAAAAAATTCTTACAATCTAAAATTATTTTCTGGCTTTAAATAACCTGCACTGGGTTGATAAGCTGTAGAATTGATGAAATACTGATTAGCTACACAGGCATGTCTTTTAGATTTATTTACATTCTCTGGAATAGAAATGTATAGAAACTCCTCTGGCTACAAAGTAAGGGATCAGTTTATATACTGATTGTAATATAGATTTGATTCCCCACTTTATATACACACATTATAATTTCTTGTTTGTTTATCAAATTCTGATTAGGTATGAATACACCTCTTCCTCCCCAGCTATGGGTTAATTAGTAAGACTTGTATCACTAAATTATTACAATAAGCAAAAAAAAAATTTCTTACAATCTAAAAATATTTTCTGGCTTTAAATAACCTGCAAAGTGTTGATAAGGCATGGGAAGTTAATCAATTTCTAAGACTTTACGCCAATGTTCTGGAAGGTTTCTACTTCCCTCTTGGTAAAATGACTGACTAAAGCAATAAAGTTGTCTGAAATTTTGAACATTGAAGATATCTTGAAACTGATTAGCAAAATGAGAAATGCTGTACTGATCGAAACAAATGATAATCTGATGGCACCAAATTGGATGAACACGTCTGTGGCGTGTGAAGAAGAATTACTCATCCTAATTCCATGATGGTATTTTGGGTGCTGACAATGTTATTCATATAGGTGCGGGGCTGCTAGTATGAATTTCTATTCTAGTATACTTGTCTTGTAAATGTTCTTTCTTCTTTCAGTTTCTTTGAATGTGATGAATGTAATGCAGTAAATTTCACTATGTTTCAGCAATTTGTAACATAGTACACATTTCATATCCTACTAAGGACAGAGCAATAATTTTTTACCCTCAAAAGTTAGTTTTTCTTTTGTTTTTTTATTGATCCAGCCATGATTTTTCAACATTTTAGATTATGATAGTGAATCCATTTTTCATTTCCAGTGATAATTTTCTGCAAAAATTTTTTTTTCATGTTGGACAAGAATTGAAATTAAAATGGTGAGACCCTGTCCAAAGCTTTATTCTGACAATTTCTATTGAACACATGTTCATGCATTTTTGTTACTTCCCTACTTTGCAAATGCCTTACAACTGTTGAATAATTAGTCAATTCCAATGTTGAGCAAAGTCATCATTTTCAAATTCTTATGGTCTTCTGCTGCATTATTTGTCATCCAAGTCAAATTTATTCTTTAACTTTGAAAACCATTTATGATATGCATTGCTTCTAACCAAAACATTTCCATAGACTTCATCAATCATCTTCTTCACTTCTGCTGCTGTCTTGTTCAACTTGAAAAGTAATAGCATGCAGTACTGCATCTGTGTCTTGCTCACTGATATTTTTCTATTTTCTAAATCTTTCAACACAGGATAAATGAACACTGAATAAAGAACATCCAACACCAGTGTAATTATTTACACGTGAACTAATGTCCTCATCTTTGTTGTTATAATCACAATGTTTCAGCTGTCGTGTCCTCTGGTCTTTAAGTGGCTGTTGATCTGGGTAACCTTCAAGGAATTTTGAATTTAATCCTTTATTCAATCTACAGGAGTAAATTGTTCTCATTTAGCTGCCCATTTCTAGGGATATCTCACCTTGTTCTTATTTATTATTGTTCAGTTATTGCTTGCTATGTATCCACTGAGTAAATCTGTACTACTTGGTTCCGGGATTGAACTCACAATTACTATGTCATTAAATTCATAAAACAATGCTTTAAACCATTGGGCAGTCAATTTCTAGTTTAAAATAAACAAAGCAACGCTGGTAACTTAATAGTTACTGTAAAGTTAAATTTTCATCAAAATGAAAGAAGAATAGTCAGTTGAAGTTAGTTCCAGGAAGTATCAGACTCCTACTGCCATGCTTTATCTTTACAAGAATCAGATTAAATCAAAAAGGAACTATTTGTGCCATATTTAGGCTGGAGCTGCTCAATCTGCACTTTCCAGCCTTGTTAGTTCAAAAACATCCGTGTGATCTTACGAGTAATGAGATATTTTCCACCCTAAAACCACTTGCCCACAAATAAAATGTTGCAAGCCTCTTGCTGCTCCATTTGCTTTTATGGAAAATGTACTAACAAGCTATATTCTTCAGTTTCAGCAGTTCAAACCTTTACAGCTAAGACCATCCTTTCCTTGTCCACTAAGGAAAATCATCTTTGTTTCCTCTGTATTCCACTCATAAGAAGAAAGTTCCATTTGGACAAATACTTCACAAGAACTACTACTTTTTGAGAGGACACTTCTCCAATCACTACAATCTCAACCTCTTAAAATCTAGGGTCAACCATCATCAACATACAACTTCATTCAGTAACACTCTACCTTGAGTGGCTCATGAGTGAACCAGGGTATATAAAAAAAATTAAAATGAACATA